GCCGCGTGGCACAATCTCAGCTCTCGAGTCTCGCTCTGGATGTTGCACATTTGGTTGCCCCACAGCATTGACTGTAAAGCTGTTTTCATTAGATTCCACTGACGCACACAGCCTGCGCATAATGTTCAAATGGCTCGTCATATATAAATAGGGAAGCTGCCAGCCAGCTTTGGCTGCGCCTGGGCCTGGGCCTGGGCCAGGGGCAAGCGCTCAAATGAGCAAAATGCATTTCAAGCGGAAGGCAGAGCCACAGGCCACAGTCTGACAGCGACAGCGGCAGCAGCAGCAGCAGCCCTTAACCCACCATTGCACAACCAACTCACCCCTCACCCAACCCGCCCCCGCTCCCCTGCTCAGCTTGTGTGTGTCAACAGTTCTTGGTTTGGGGACATGCGTCACGCTTAGCCCCTGCATTGACCCCAAAACAGAAACAAAAAAAAAGAAATGTCTAGCCATCCGGCGCGCGGCGCAACATGCGCTTATTCACTCATTCATTCACTTCATTTACCGAGTTACGCATACGCACACTCACACTCGCACTTACGAATGCAATTGTGAATGTGAATGTGAATACGAATACGAACTGTGGGCTGGCCCCTGTTGATGACATCAATTTGCGTAAATTGTGCTAGGAAAACGTTGCCGGAAACTGACAGACTAATGGAGCGGAAGTTTTTCCAAAGCATTCAAATGACTGCCACACACACTCACACTCACACTCACACACACACACACACACACACACACACACACACACACACACACACTCGCACACACACACACTCGCACACAGCAGCGTTACCTTAACCCTTGCCTGCAGCTGGGCAAAGCGTCAACTAGATATCCTGGCAGTCAGTCAGCCATTGCAGTTGCCCACTTTCAAGCGCAATTCAAACAGCATTCAGATGAGCTGCTGCCAGCTCACTCCCCCCACTCCCCTCTCTCTCCTTCCCTACCTCACTCTGTTATTGTTGACTGTTATTTAGCAGCGCTCTGCTAATGAAGCTTGCTGTTGCCAGCAATTAAACAGCAGCTTTACTTTAATGTAATTGTCTCGCTCTCGCTCTCTTAATCCGTCTCTCTCTCTCTCGCTCTCTCTGTCTCCCTCTCTGTCTGCCGCTGTTCCGCTTAATTTGTTGTGCACGTTGCGAAATTAAACTTGTCTGTTGTGCATTGAAAATGTCACCGAGCACAGTTCTCGCATCCCGCGCCACCCCCTGTTACCCAGCCTCTGAGCTGGCGAGTTGGCAGTCCCAATTGTTGGCAGCACCGCATGCAAAAACGTAAATTTTATCAGCATCAGCATGAAAATGTCGCCGCATATTAACCTGTCATCCATCACTTTTGATACTTTAGCATTGTCGCGTTTCATCTCTACCTGGCCAGGGACTATGTGCGTCAGCGAGGGGGGGGGGGGTCTCTGCTGTGGCACACTCTTAACCAGCTCCCCGACTGCCTGCCTGTTTCCATGTCACGCAGCAAAAAGGGTCAATTCCGTTGCACGACACACAAAAGGATAACGAGCGCAATATGAGTTGGCATTATAATACAACAACAACAACAACTACGACTACAACAACAGCAACAACAATGTTGAATGACAGCGCATAACACAAAGAGAAAATAAAATGGCGTCGTCGCTGCTGTTGACGTAGTTGTTGCTGCTGTTGCTGTTGTTGCTGCCTCTGCATCTGACGATAGAAATGCCAATGATGCTGCCACTGCTGCCACTGCTGCTGCTGCTGACGCTGATCCCCAAAGCAACAGTACAAAATGTAAACAGATAAAAAAAAGGATATATATACATATATATTACGGCCATCAAGGTTTCAGTTTACAGTTTAACCATTTTACAGTTTTATTCAATAAACAGTTGATACTTCATTTGATTACCGTGGCGAATGTTAAAGTGTTGGCTGTTAAAAGCTGCTATAGAGCTCGTAACATAAGAGCAGCAATTGCTGTAAGCGGCTAACAGAGCGTGGACATTAGTGTAAGACAGTGTTGTGTAAGCACAAGGGAAGCATATTAAATAACAAACTCATACTAGGCTCTGTAGAATATATTTACTTGCAAAAATGTTTATTTAAACAATTGCTAAAGCACTTAAGTGTGGCTTAAAATCGCAATGTTTGCCCTATGATTTAGCTACTTGCGAGGATTTTCACTCTAATCTTATGCATATTTAATGTTGTGTTATAAAGAATAGTCGACCAACTTGATAAATAATATGCACTTTACATTTATTTCGCACACTTTTTAGCTACTGTGAAAGTAGCGCTGTGTTTACATCAAACTACATAACAAATTCGCAGCAACACAATCACAAATACCTTGGGCGGGCATGGGGGCGGGTTAATGTGGGGCATTGCCTTTAAAATGCCACACACACACACACTAGACACCTCCCACACGCCGCCACTCCCCCTGCTTCCCCTTTGCAGCCCGCTAGCCAAGCTGTGGCTTAACCGTTGATGTGGTTCTAGATAACTTTGGCATAGCTAAAGGCCAAGTTTAGAGCCTGGCTGTGTGAGTGTATGTGTGTGTGTGTGTGTGTGTGTGAACTATGCTGATGGCGCATCAGTTTATCCGGCAACTGAGTGTGTGTGTGTGTGTGTGTGTGTGTCTGTGTGTCTGTCTGTGTGTGTGTTTTTATGACTAAAATTGTAAATTATGTCAACTGGCCACGACCCACAGAGCTCGTTATAGTTGGTGTGCGATATCCACACACACACACACACACACACACACCCTCAGGCACACACACCTACACACACACACACACAGAGACACAGCGCGACATAGGTCTAGTCTAACAGCTACACGAAGCTAATGAAAATTTATTGATAATAAATTTAATATGTTTTGCGGCTGCGTGTTTTATGTGCATGTGCATACACACACACCAGCACACTCACTCTAACACACACACACACACATATGCATACATATATAAATATACATAGATAAAGTATTCATAGACATATCCTTGGAGCTTTGCATTTCCCATGTAATCGACACTCAACGCCCGCACATCGGAATCGCTTTGGGGCTTCAGCCGGAGTTGGGCGTTATTTTTCGGGGTTGATTTTCTGGTTTCTGGGTGGCCCGCTGTGCCAACTAGTCATAATTAATTTATTGTAATTAAATGATAAAAGCTAAATTTGTGAAATAACGCGGGGATAGCGCAGCTGTTGCAACGGCTGCTGTTGCATTTTGTAATGCAATCCGCCTCGATTGCGTGTCCTTTTTGCTTTTTATTTACTTTTTTTTCTCTATATACAACACAGCAGCAATTGAAGCCATGCTACTGTCATAGACCCTGCCACTCCCACTACCACTGCCGCTGCCCCTTATCTGCACCCCCCCCCCCCCCTGGCCATGTTCGTGCACCGTCAGGCAGCATTTCTGTTGACATTTCATTGAGTCTCAAGCTCAAACTTCATTATGTCCTGCAGCGTCTGGCGCCAGTGAGGGAAGCTCATGTCGTGTCATGATGTTGCCAGCAGCCGCCCCCTTCCCTTCTCTAACCGCTGTGCGTGTCTTCTTCTTCTTATACTTTATCGCACAGTGTGTGTGCGTGTGTGTGTGTGTTTGTGTGTGACTTTGTCTAAGTTTGTTTGCATAACCTATTTGTATAAATATTTTGCCTTTTGCTGCGCTCTGTTGCTCAACTTATTTGCACGTCTCCAACGCCAACGCCAGCGGCGAAGGCAAAGGCAGCCCCACCCCCTCCCCTCCCTCCCAAACCAGCAACCCCCCTCCAACCCCTAAGCCTTCTTGATGGCCTCCTTGATGGCCTGCTTGTTGCTCTGCAAGTCTCATTGTTGTTGCTGCTGCTGTTTCGCTCTCTCCGGCAGCCTGTTTCTCTGTTTTGTAGGTGATAACAATGTTTGTCTTTATTTCAGCAGCAAAAACTTTACTCTTAACATTTTCACTTAAACTTGCTCAACAAATTTGGTTTATTATTATATATTTTATAGTTTGGCACGTGTGTCTCTGTGTGTGTGTGTGTGTGTGTGTATGTGTGTGTCTCTGTAGGTGTTTGCTGTGGAATTTTTGCTGCTGCTGCTGCTCTCGGGCAGATTTTGTGGGCAGCAGGCAGCAGACCCAGTTAAATTCAAAGTGTCGAAATTGTACTACACTTGCAGAAAATGCAAAATTAATTGTTGCTTAGCTGCATAATATAGTCGGCTGATCCCAAGCCGAAGCCTTTAAGCGCTAGGGTAAACAAATTTTGTATAGTTCACTTTGAAAACAAACAAAATAAGACAACAAACAAATTTTGCATGCAATTACTTTTGTAGACTAAAATTAAATTTACTTTATGCACATAAATATGTGTGCTATAGTTCGTTGCAAAATCATAATACTCCTGGCTAGAGTGTTAGATATTTGGCATGTTAACATGCAAAATAAAAACTCGTAACTATTTGTCACATATTTTTTATGAGCTCCGCAAGCTACGGGAATTTGCAGTCCTGTTTTGACCGAACTTTAGTGTGTAATAAAAATACCAGTGAAATTCATATATGGACATAATAACTAAACTTTCTTCAAGCGATCAGCATTAAAAGAGCTCTTAAATTTGAACTTACAATCGCGCACAAAATTAGCCGAAGCAAATGTTAGCGGCAGTCAAATTAAATGCACTTATCTGTACTTTGAGCACAATTCAAATTTATATGAGCTCCCATTAACATTTATATAACATTTCACATTTTTTGTTAACATTTTCTGCCGTCTCTAAAATGATAATAAATTATTTGAATAAATATAATAACTAAACCAAATTATTCACAATTAACAAAGATGTTCCTGCATACTTGGCAATAAACGTAAATAAATGTCAACAAAAACTCTTTCAAAGGATTCGCTGTGCTGTGATCACAAGGAACAACTCTATCGACCGAACTTTGTTACCCGTTATATAGTAATTTTAAGTTTTACAAACATAGAAATTTAATAAATAATAATAATTGGCTTTTTATATTTTACAGCCAATTTTGCCACGCCTTCGGATGAACCATGGTTATACCATATCACAGATATACTGCCAGGATCCTAAATAATCGTATATTTATTAACTGCAATATACGCAAGAATATGGTCAGCAACTAAATAAAGCACGTCCTTGCCCAACCCTACCCACCGACACAACAACAATGTTTCCCAGTTGACCCACATATCCTTGGTCCTGCCATACCATAGATATAGTCCTGGTGAACCTAAACGTCCAAATCTCTGCAATATTCGCTCGGAAATGGTCTAGAAATATATATGCTTTTGCTTCTAGTATCCCATTTACATACACAGCAACCATTTAAAGTATAATGGCTGTCAATATCCCTCGTACCGTATGGGTGGGGTGCACTGAAATTGTTTTTTTTTTATGCATTTTTTACAGCACCCCTTTAGATGTCATACTGCTACTGATTAGCAGCGACAACGAAAGTATGCAATAGAAATTTACGATACCTGACTTAACAGTTGACTAACATTTCGCCCCGTACGAGTAGAAAGAGGTATATCTCTCCGCAATTGGACTGTATTTAGCCGAGATATTTCAATATAACACTAAATAAAAGGTTGGAGTGATGCGTATATTGTGAATTATAAGATCTGGCCGTTATCGGGCTTTATTTGGCCGAGATATAGCAATTTATAGCCGTTTGCAGCGGTTTTTAGCAGAATTTTAGTAGTACTGCATACTTTCGTGCTGTCTACAAATACGTTTTGAGTCAAAAAATATTAAAATTGAAATATCTCGGGTTCCATATGACCGATTTCAAAGTGGTATACCTCTTTCTACTCGTACGGATGCCGACTATCGATTGCCACCAAAAAATCTGCATTCTAAGAAATGGCCCAATTTGAGGAGAAATACTATGTTTTTTGCAAAATTGACGATGTTGGCTGAAAATGGCTGTGACCACGAGTCGAACGAGACCAATCTTTCCAAGATCGGGCTTTATTTGGCCGAGATACAGCCATTTGAAAAATGCGAAAAAATGCCGTTATAATTTTGAAGATTTTTCGTTTTTTTGCGATAATTCGGCTAAAAATGGTCCGATTTTGGAAAGTTATACCTTTTTGAACTCGTACGGATCTCTGGCATCGAGTGGCATACCGCGTTTTTTGATTTTGTTTGAAAATAAAAAGTTAAGAAAAAACAAAAAAGGGGTTGCTATTTTTATGCGCGGACCAAAAGTATGCAGCAGAGCAGCTACTCCAATAGGCTCAAGCGCATTATGTGGACAGCACGAAAGTATGCAATGTTTTATTTCACTTATTTGTCCACAACCCACGCACACGCATGGTTCATGAAAAAAACGGCAATTTTATTTTTTTAATTTTATAATTTTTATTTAAAATATTTTATTATTATTATTGTTTATTATTGTTTATTGTTTTTTATATTCTTTTTTCAAGCAGATACGAATAAAACTCATAATTGTTTCGCATTCTTTCTCTTGATAGAGTTCTTGTACTGACGTCCATCTGGTAAGGGAAATCAGAAAGTCTCAAGTGTAGATAAGCCCATAATTCCTGCATGCCGATCGATAAAGTCCATTGGAAATCTGCAACGATATGTCGACATTAGTTACTTCAATTGCCAAATACAAGAGTGTGGGAGCTACATTATAAACGAATCTGAAGAGCAGAGCAAAATAGGTTGGATTTTATATTGTATTTACTGCTTTAATTTACGGGCGTACTTTCGAGCTTTAAAATATGTGATATTCTCCAGTTGGAAGCAGCTGAGAAACATTGTACCTTTATATTTCTGGCGCTGCAACTGCCTATATATATTATAATAAATTTAAAAACAGCAATACATGTTTTTGTTTTGGTCTGCCTATTAACGAAGCTAATTTAAAGGAGAAATCCGAATTGACGCCCTCAGGGTGAAGCTGTAAGAATATATTTAGATTTATTTTATTATATATATTTACTTAAAATTTATTTATTGCTATGCAAGGTAAGAAGTCAGTTTTTAACCGTGCAGCTAATACGTTAAAGTGGCTTAAAATTTAACTGGATTTAATCAGAAACGAAAGGCTTTTTTATATGAAAATTAAGTTTGCATGAAGGAGTTGTTTAAATAAATGCAGCACATATAAATAATCCAAAGACAAAGGCTGCTTGCTTTAATTAACACTACAAGATGTCGGGGCTGAGCGAAGTGCTTATGCAAAAGCAATTTTAATGGCCAGCGATTTGTTGACACAAGTTGTTGCGCAAGCGAAATCGTCGAATCGAATATAGCCCATTTAAGCCAACAAATTAACGTGTCCTGGTTCTACTTAGCCGTTTGATCCCGATTGTCAAATGGCGACAATGCAATTTACGCGCCTGTAAGCAGCTGAAGACAAGAAGCAAATGGCAAATGCTGCCAATGTGCAAGCATGCCACTTAATGAATTGTCAAACACTTTAAGCCAATAAACGCAGTAATGGCATGATACACACACACACACGCAGACATTACACGCAGTTGAATGCGAGTAAAACAGGTGCTAGGGGCAGAGGCAGAGACAAGCTGCATTGACAGACGCTTAGCAATTGCAAGGCGTTTAGCTGTAAGACTTGCAAAAGTTGTGCCATGCCAGACACCAACTTTTACCTATACACACACGCACACACACGCACACACAGTCACATACTTGAGGACATTTGTCACAGTGCTTTGGCTTTCTTTTTTTTTGCTGCTGCGGCTATGACTGTCAGCGAAACTTTGCTTTGCCGTGCGCTTCTTTTGACATTCGACGGCAGCAGCAGCAACAACAACTCAAGTGTTTATGTTGGCCGGAAGACATAAAAGCATTGCGTTGGCCCCGTCACTGCCAGAGCACTGAGCTCTGAGCAGGCCAGCCAGTCGATAGTGGAGCAATGCCAGCGACACGCAACCGCAACAAATCCAACGGAAATCCACTTTAAAGTTAGCTCGCACAGCACAGCAGAAGCAGCAGCAGCAGTTGCCCCGCACATACCCCGACTGCCCCTCTGCCCCTCTGCCCCTCTGCATAGATATCCGGCAAGTCCTTTTGCAATGCTGCACTTGCACTTGCCACGCTGTCAAGTGTTGTTGAGCACGCGATGGACACACGACGCCCAAGACAATCAGACAAAAGACCAACAAAAGACACAGCTCGAGCAACGAGATGGATAGAGAGGAAGCTGCAAATACATATACATACACACATATATATACGTATATACATGGACTAAATCCTTGTCATTTTTCATTGAGCAATAATAACAGAAGCGAAAAGAACTGAATCGAACTGAATCGAACTGAACTGAACTGCATTGAGTTGAGGCGACAAAAGCGAAAGTGTCTGCTAAATGGGTTTATGTGACCCCAAGTACGCGTGCTGTTGGTGCATTTTTATGGTTTACTTAGGGCTACAACAACTATAACTATATAAAGCTGCAGCTGCAGCTGCTATATATGTATGTATAATCAGAGCTAGACAGGCTGCGAAAACCATTGAACAATGAACGCACGAGCTGCCTTAAACAATGAGAGACTGAGGGTATAAAACACATGCATGTCAAAGTTTTGTGGCTTTGTGAACTGATTTAAAAGTTGCTTGTTTAATAATGTGATAATAGTTATGTCTACATTATATAGTAGAAATAATAATATTTTCAATCATATGTATATTAATTACAATTTGTGAATTAGGCGTAGGAAAGAATTTCATATAAAAGAATTTCTAACAAAACTAACTTGCTTAAGTTTGTAAATTAAATGCTTGAAAACAATTAAAATAAAATACAAAATATATAGATTTTAATCTAAATTAAATAATGAAGCAGCAATAATTGTTTTCTTACGATGATATATATGAACAATTAATTATATTTAAAATCATATATTAATTCCCATACTCAAATTTAAATAAATTAAAGCCCGTTTGAAGGCGGAGGAAAGAATTTCGTTTAAATATTTCTCTAAAAAAATGTACTTCTTGTGTATAGATAGTAAATAAAATATATAAATTTAAATATTGAAAAAAACTTATATATATATTTGAAATTTATGTATATATATAAAATTGCTGATGAGGATGAATTGGCGCTCGGCTACCCAGCAAATCGTAAGTCCATCTGTAGGCTAACATAACATAACCTGAAATTACTTTGGAACTACACCCAAAACAGATGAACGACATAGAAATTAACTTATATAATTGCACTAATAAGAAAACAAGCTGGATTTTAATTAACAAGCAATATTCTGCAAGTATTTTATGCGTCTTACGATAAACCGAGAGAAATCAGAAATCAGCAAAGGAAGCATTTAATGCCAGCTTTGAACTCATCAGAAAGGCGAATGTTAGCCGAAAATGCAATCAAAAATCGACCCAAATAGAATCCTTGCTACAGGATTGATTGTTGACAAAAACATATTTTTCATTCGCATGGGAATTGTGAAGCTTTCATGAAATACCAAAATGTCATGTATGCATGCAAAAGGGAAAATCACTTAAGCTGCAAATATGCATATCAATGGCATATTACAACAACAACAACAACAACAATAACAAGAAGAAGAAGAAGAAGAACAACAACAGCGAGCAACAATAACAAATACAACAAAGGACGAGGCAACTGACAAGCAAATAATTGGCATAAAATGACACCAGAAATTGATTAAAAGCGAGCAGAAGGAAGAAGAAAAAAAGTCAAACTCAAAGAAAATGTAAGGGAAAAACGAGAGAAAAATAGCGAAAATTGAGACATGAAATATTAAATAACATTCATTCTTCTTCTTTTTCTGTTGTTGTTGTTGTTGGAGCCAAACTGTTAACAAGCAACAGCCAAAAGAAATGCGATAAGAATGCTGAGAAGGAGGGGTAGAAAGGGGGGAGGGAGGGGCTGGGAATAGGTGGCTGGCAGCGGGGAAAGAAAGGCCTGAGGAGGAAATGAAAAAGGAAAACGGCGCACGACAAAAGTTAAAAATCAATTCGTGGCCAGCTGAAAGCTGATTTATGGCTGCATTTATGAAATGGCCCACAAGCCGAATGCCTGACAAAAAGTAAACACCAACACACACACACACACATAGAGAGGCACACACAGATACTTGTAGGAAATAGAAAACTAAGTGATTGAGAGTTATAACGAGAGTCCAGCAAATTTACCAGAAAATTGACTTTTTCTGTGCGCGGCATTAAAGCGCCAGCAAATCGAACTGTGTGCC